CGAGGCTTGCGCCGAGGCCTCAGACGAAAGGCCAAAGCCCTCCGCCCCGCCGAGGCCCTCTCGCCGAGGCCCCACCCCGCAAGGACTCGGACGGGATGCCAATTCTCCGATTCGCCCGAGGCCGGGCTCGGCAACAACCTCGTCACCTCCACCCCGACCGGCTCCTCTGACAAAACATCACGTCCAGATTAATGCGCCCAACTACTCCCGCAACATCAGCCGCTGACACAGCACGATTCAGCAGAACGACCCGGACGGGACGAGAGGACCCCAGCGCAGCGGGGTTACTCGCCACTGTGCACATCATCTTTGTGCCCCTGGCGACACTCAGACGCCTCTGTGCTACCTAACCCCTGCGCCAAGGACAAAGCAGCGTGGAAGGTCAAGTCTATGTCCCTGTAGTCTCAGAAACAGCAGGAAAGACCAACTGCTCATCCTCCGCCTCGTCAGAGACCCGGCGGAGGTCTCGGACGTACTTTTCCTTCTCCGCCTCGGCTGAGGCCGGGCTCGTCCCGCATCCTCGTCGACTCCGCCTCAACCGCTCCTCTGGCGACCCGTCCCATCCGTGTAAGTGCGCCTGGTCACACCTACTACGTCAGCCACGATGGGCAGGGTACAGCAATAGGGGCGATGGGACGGTGGTCAAATCTCCTTTTTTTCCATCCCCTACTGACGGTGCAGGGATTACCGTACCCTGTGGACATCCGCTCTGCGCTTTTCCACCTAAACCGGGTATGACGCGGACCATCGAGACCCCCGTACCATACACCGGTCACCTCTGAGGCCTCGGCACGATCAGCTACAGCACCCGCCAGGCCTCAGCACTCCATCAAATCAAGAATCCACGAGGCACGGCATGTCTCCTGCCGTGGAGGCCATACTGACTAGACATCAACAAGGACCCCCACGACCTCAACAACCTCAAGCCTGGCCAGCACAGCGCGTCAGTCAAGTACCGATCGCCATTCCCAACACCATGCTGCTACAGGACTAAACTATAGAAGGCTCCACATGTAGCTCACTCATGCACTCCTGGCTCCCTCCTTACAGTTATAAAAGGAAGCAGCCAGGGATAGCTCTGGGGGGAACGAAAAAACCTACGAAAAAACCATGCTCTCACACACAAACAACACTCTATAACACACGCTCTCCCAAGCTACCCGAGAGCAACGTCTCAAGCAGCCCACACCGTTCCACGTCGAGACCTGGGACTAGCTCCCTCTCTCACCCAGCTTGTAACCCCCTACCACAAGCACTTCGGTGCAAGGAATACAAGATCGATCTCTCGTACTGGACGTAGGGCGCCAATTGCCTGAACCAGTATAAACCTTGTGTCTCTTTGTATCACCATCCGGGATTAGGGGCACGCAGTTCAAATTCTTTGGTTGGTTGAGACCCCCGGTCCGAAAAACACCGACGATTAGCGCGCCCGGTAGGGCCTCTGCGTGTTAGCTTGATCGTCCCAACAAGTTCCGGATGGTCGACCCCATCGCCCACTACGTCTCAAGCACGGTGGTCAGTTCGGGAGCCTAGAGTTCATATCTCTAGGACGTGAGTACGACCTAGTACTCCTCCCACCCGAGCCCCTTTGGCCGACGACGGCTTCATGCACCAGCACTGCAGGCGCGGCGGTGTCGAGCCGCCGCTCTCGTCGCGCTTCGCCGATCCTGGCGCGCCTTGGCGCGACCACCCCACACCGCAAGACGACCTCGGGCGACAGCTGCGCTCCGCCGGTATCCCGTGCCCATTGTTGGTACGAGGTCCACGGTTGGGGACTGTCGCCTAAGCTTGGGTAGGGGGAAAGACACCGGTGACGGCAGCGACGCCCGTCGTCAAGTTCCCCACCGCCACCACCGAGGAGCCAACTACGACGGGCGGGGCCGGCGATGGCCCCGTCTCCATACCCTTTCGGGTTGAAAGCGCGCCGCCGCGCCTATGCTTTACGCTGATGTCGCAATCCCGGGGCTGTGCTCGTGAGTTTGGGAAATTTGGAACGAAAGCAAGTGTCTTTGGTAGTAGTGGATCGAGAAAGTTCTGTGGATGGGTTGGGGTGGACAGTGGATCGGAGGAGGTGTCGCGTTGCACTTGCGCCCCAAAAGCGACGCCGCTCGTGCTTGGTGCGGCGAAGATCCCGAACCACTCTCGAGCAGCACGACGCTGGGACTAGTAGCTCACTAGCTCCAAAAGTGGCAGCTGCACTGCTGCAGCCTCGTTCAGTATAGTAAGGTGGTGTTTAAATCCAGTAAAGTCTAGAGATATCATATCAGTTGTTATATTAGGATGTCATACGAGAGTGTTTGATAGTAATAATAAAATAAATTATAGAAGTCCTCAGTAATCCACGAGGCGAATTTATTAAGCCTAATTAATCCGTCATTAGCATATGTTTACTGTAGCATCACATTGTCAAATCATAGACTAATTAGGCTTAAAAAATTCGTCTCGCAAATTAGTCGCAATATGTGCAATTAGTTATATTTTTTACCTATATTTAATACTTTGTCAAACATTTGATGAAATAGGAAGTAAACTTTAGGGGAAGAAACTGAACCAGGCCTGCCCCTGAGCGCTGGTAACCGAGACAACTTAACAGCGGCGGGTAGAACGCCTTTTTAGGACGCTGGATTGAGCTTAAAGAGTGGAAATGCAAAAAGCAAAGACACCGGTTCTTGTGTACTAGTAGGCATCTACTAGCGCAATTATATCCCAAACGCGAAATGAGGTAGCGGTTGTCGAAGACAGTCATCTTTTCATGGGAGGTAAAATGATGGCACACAAATGTACTGCTCACTTCCGTTCCTGTCCGTAGATCCAAGTGAGATATTCAACAAATGACAAGAGAAAGGCGAAAATTTCTGCAGGAAAGCGATGGGTCGGGCGAAGCAGCAGGGGGACGGCGATCGAGCCGGCGTAGCAGGCTAGCAGCGCACTCAGGTCTTCATCTTTGGTCGGCTCTGGTAGTGCCGGTCTCGGATTATCCTCGCGTCATTCCTTTCTTTGAAGAAAGAAACGCACGCGTTCTTATCGGTTTGATGAGTGCAACACGCGCCGCAGGACCCCAGTAGTAGAATTGACGGTCTACGGTGCATGGTGCGAATTTAAAGGGGACGGCGGCGGCCTAATCCCACTGCCTAGGCCCGTTCGCTCGAAAAAATTTAGAGGAATCTAAAGTAATTTATAAAAGAAATCAGCCATGAACAGTAACTTTCAGTCATGAACAGTACAATCTCCAGTTGACTCTGCTCTAAAGTTGATCGAGACGACCACTACGAGACTGTATCTTGATCTCAAACTGTGGTCTGTGTCTCTGCTCGCGAAGGGTGGACAGGCTAAACTTAAACCTAGCTTATTATGTGTGTTTCGCTGAACAAATTACAGAGACAGAGGGAACGAGGGATATATGACCGTGTTTTAGTTGACCACCTGGACCGCTGGACGTGATGCCATCGAGTTAGTCGTTCGATGTGTTTGGAATGGTTGAACTGGTCGCCGTCCCTGATGCTTCGATGCAATGTGCCGTGCGGTACTGCGGTGACCAAGTTGGGACAATTTTCTTCTCGTGTTTGCGAAGGACCTGGTCGATGTTTGTTGATCGTTGCTGATTGACTCGGTTAAAAATGACGGGAAAAAAGAGCAGTTTAACGGGGCTGGTGCAGACTGACTGAATCGTACTCGTTCCACTTGCATGTGTTCCAGTAGAGTGAATAGAAAGATCAATAAAACTCCCACCACTTTCTTAAGCTGCAATCTAGTGGAGAACACATTTTCTTTCATTGCACCTTCTCTGATGCTGCCGAGGCTCTTGGAATGTACTTCGTCTCTTATTTGCAAGTAGACTGAATTCTTTACAACTGTACACCTCTCAGAAAAGAGTTCCAATAATCCGTAACATACCAGAATGGGAGATTGAGGCATATTATAGAGGACATAGGAAGCATCAAGAATCTAATCCATAGTGTTGCAGAAACAGTAACTATGAATGCTCATGTTAGAGATAATGGCAGCTTCGAACTTCAATGTTCTAAGATCAGACAGATCTATGGCTGCCTTTTACAAGATAAAGCTTGTGAATGGCCTAGTTGGCCAAACTATGTAACATTTCTTGATATGAATGAAAACCATTTCTGAGTGTTTTTTCTTAAGAAAAGGTTGCAGAAAGAAATTGCTGTGCAGATATTGACACCCCCTCTCCATCACAAAAAGAATATCATTCTTGCTTTGGAGAAACCTATGAATCTCAAATTTGGCCAACTAAATTAATATTTATTATAGGTAATAAATATTATTAAACAAATCGTGGAATATATTTTCATAACAAATCTATTTGTTGGAGATATAAATGTTGAAATATTTTCTATAAACCTAAAATGTAGGCATTTTTTGTGAGATTGAGTTAGTCTTATTACACATTTTTTAGTCAGAGGTACTTGCCACATTTGAAGAGAAATGTACTCGCAGTTTGTAGATGCCGCCCTTTGGCCTGTCCTAACTCCTAACCAACACAAATATCAGTACATATAAAAAGTAGCTATTCAGCAACAAAAGCTTGAAAACGCTGCAGAGGCCAAGATCCAGAGGTAAACTGCAGATTACCAGAGCAGTTTGTTAGCATGCAGCAGAGAAACCCGCCCAACTTGAAAACCAGGCCAACATCCTGGTCAAAAAGGTACATTTGCTGCAAAATCCACTGCTGATTATAATTAAATAGAACATCAAAAAGCTACAACGCCACCCGACAACAAGATGCCATGGGCCTCACAGCGAGCATAGGGTTCATTCCGCTTAAGGCTCAGCACCAATGCACCATGGATCTGACCACAACGAACACATGTTACTCCTAACATTACACAGCTATAGCAAATGTTGCTTCTACTAAAGATCAATCAGACGAAATTTCGAGTTAACACTCAATAATACATGGTGCAGCGCCAATACCTCTGCCTAAAGGAGCAAATCTAGGGAGCACATCCATTTACAAGAGAAGTTCATCAGCGTTAACTTCAAGCCTTCCTTCTGCGCTTCTTTCCTGTAGAAGCATTTCCTGATGCCTCCTGCTCTTTTTCAGCAGCCTTGACTTCTTTCTCCTTCCGCTTCTCCTTGTCAGCATCACTCTTCGCCGGAGTACCAGCATTTTTTGGTTTCCGACCAGGCCTAGCTTTTCCTTCAGTGGACTTGCCTTCATCTTTTGAACCCTTGCCTTTGCTAATAGCCTCCTTAGGTTTGCTCGTACTCTTATCATCTTTAGGCAATTCATCCTTTGTCTCAGTTGATACACTAGCTTTGTCCTTGGAGCTCTTCTCAAGTTCCTTCTTAAGGTTGGTGCCAGTTTTAGGTGTTTCTTTGGCATCCTTGCCAGCAGTTTTCCCCTTTGTGCTCGGAGTAGCTGAGTTACTAGGTGTCCCATTGCTGGATCGCACACCTTTTGGACGCCCTCTTTTCTTTGGAGGATCCACAGCATCACTGCAACCATGCAGAAAACAGTAGTCTCAGAAAAGCTACAGGCATAAGTCATCGTGACTTTCTTTGTATCAATTACTTACCTTTTAGGTGTTTCTGTATTTTCTTCCTTCACCGCGTCCGCTTTTCTTTTTCTGCCTCGTGGCCTGTTGAAACAAACAATAACACAAACTTAACAAAACCACTTATCGAGAGGCATGAAATTATTGGCATGGTTGGAATTCAGATAAATAACCAATTATCAATTGCCAGCATGGTTGGAATTCAGTATCCACAAACTAGTTTACAACTAACATTTCCCTCGTACTTCTTTCAGAAAAACAAACAATTTCCAGACTAAGAGATGAAACTTGATTAACATTATGCTAGTTCCAACAGCTGTGGAGTGATCATAGCAAACCAAGAAACCAAAGCCAATGCTCAGTCCTGATTGACACTTGACACAACGGTAAGCCAAGCATTTGAAAAATAAGAAAGCAGGGAGAAAAGTACACATGTATCACACTGAAAGCAGAGACTCACACTACTTCGCCATAACCCAGACCTTTAACTATTCAGAAGATCCAGTTTATGAGCGTCTGTTAGAACCAAAACACAGGTTTGGGGCTGAATTTCAGATTTCATTAGCCATGCCACAGCTATGGCAGGCTGGGGATACATATAGGATAGCTTGCTTGAACCTTAAGAAAACTACAGCATATTCTAGAGATGCTAAAGTAGATGCTAGGGATAAAGATAAAGGCTGACACAGCCACCAACTACTCTAGATAATTATCCTAAGTAGATAAGGACAAGACTTATAGCTGTCGTCCACACATGCAGGTGAGCAAAAATATTAGCAGAAGGCATTGAACACTGGGTTAGTGACCCTATTCTCGTAAGGGCAAGTAAACAGTGACCCTGTGCATTGCATATTCTTATAATACAATTTGGGAACTAGTTCTACTGCCGGCTGATGCATGAACAAATATCCAAATTTGAAATTGTAGTTAATGGCACAGATATAGATGTAATTGACATTGCGAATGCAAAAATAGCACAAAGATGAGTTTGCGTACGTTTCAGATGCCACAGAAGCTCCCTTCTCCTGTCAGAGTAAAAGTTAATTAGAAACAAGGAATCAATACGAAATTATAAAATCATCATGAGGTGAAATGTGCATACCTCACTGATGAATTCCCACTTTTCATCCCTCAGCAGTAGTACCTCTACATCCCCGTCATCATATGCGACCTAGGCTCCGGAAAGGGAAGAGAACATGACGAAAAGAAACATAGAATAAATAAAGATTGATTAATTAAAACTACTTTTTTCCAGCAAACTAAATAGCCAGGACAGGATATAGCAGTGCACAAAGACACACCTTGTGCCTCTTAGAAACAGAATCAAATGACTCCACAACACCATTGTAGAACCTGCAAAATAATAAAAAGGATTAAAATCTGGAAAAGAATAAAAATAGCAAGCCACCGCAATGCGATTTGCTAAATCCAAATAGTAATATTCATTTCTAAAATAGCAACCATCAGAAAGAAAATGTCAGATTTGGAACTACTCAAAAATAACAAGACATAATAAATAAGTAAAAAGAAACAGGTTTACAAATAATTGGCTACGTTTATAATATCAAACAGAGAAGAAAATAACCAGCTCAACGAGTGTCAAAAGTTCAGAATATTGAATTGTTCATTCTACTTACATCTTATCATCTGGCCACCAAACTTTGATCCTTGCACCAACTAGACTTCTATCAAGGCCTTTGCTTTTCCTTGAACGAGGAGGCTGTAAAAAGGAACTCAAGAATCAGATCTAGGTTACCTAAACAAACAAATAAACAAAATTCTATGTGCATACAACATATATAGTGCTCAGACTAGAATATTCAAATAATAAGACAGATATATAAAACTATTAAGAACTTGTTAGGTATCAACATGAAAATTCTTGACCAAGCAAAAGACCAATTGATCAAACATTTCAAGCTCAACTAGACATTGACAAACACTATTGCAATAATTTTAATCAAGCCTGCCCTCTACCTCTTCAGTTTCTTGTTCTTCCTTCATCTTAGGTGTGCTATTCTCTGTGGTTTGCCCTTTGGTTCTACCTGGGCCCTTGGTTGAAGATTTCGCGATATCATTTCCTGCATTGTGGTAAAAGAGTTAGTACACTAATCACTATTAAAGGTGCAAACAGCCAAACACGATAAAAGGCATGGAAAAATGATGCCATATCCAATAAAGTGCTGAATGTTCATGAAATTAAATCTCTAGGTTTCAATTCCAGCAAAGGTAGACTCAAACCGCAACTAAAAGTCAAGGAATAACAAAGTTACAAAAAATAGAACATTCTGAATACATTTGTTTTAGACTAAAAAGTAAAGAAGACTTGTTACCTAGCAACAGAAAAGAGTAAACTTACAAAAATATGTTATCGAACAAATAAATAGACATTCAAAGAAAACTATAAGAGGATCCGTAATAGTACAACCTAGCAGAAATCAGACCATGTTGTACACAATAGAGGGTGGACTAACTGTAAAAAGCAGACCATATTGAAAACTCAACACAAAACCTGCTAGTATTACGAGAGAGAAAAACCTTTAAGCTCAGATCCTTGGCAGGATCATCCTCAGAAAGAGTTTCATCCTTCTGCTGTTTCGAATTGCTCTTTTGAGTCTTCTTAGATGATTCTCCTTCACCAGCCTTCTTTGCGGAAGACTTCTCATCCTTAGCTGATCGTTTCGCCAACTTCCTGGCTGATTCACCTGCCTCCTTGACCTTTTTCAAATCCAAAACTGAAGATTGATCCTTTCCAGCAGCCTTCTTCTGCAATGACTTTGGGCCAGGAGGACGGCCTCGCTTTGGTTTAGGTGTACTATCAGCAGGCCTTGATGCATCATCAGCTGCTCCATTTGTACCCTCGGCTGATGCTACAAGATCTTCCTTTTTAGTGTCAGCATCAGAATGCACAGTTGCTTCACATTTATCAGACGGTTTGAGCTTAGTACTTTTGTCTGAATCAAGGGAAGCTTTCTTTTTGGGCTTTGCAGCATTGGACTCAGCACCTTCATTGTGGTCAGATTTCAACTGATCAGCATCTGCTATGTTTTCAGCATTGCAAGGTTGTTCAATCTTCTCTTTTGTGGAAGGAGGTCCTTGATCATCAGACTCACCAGTATCAGGTGGAGTAGTACCACTGCTAATAGCAGTACCTGTATTACCATTCATAGAAGTACCATCCTGTTCAGGACGGCTAACATCTTGCTCAGCCTTTGAAGATTCCTGCCAAAAAAAATATGCATGCTGTTGTTAGATCAGCCATTTACATAAATACAGAAGATGCAGATCATACCTGAGGTAATTCATCAGAAATAGTCCTTTCGGAGAGCTTGCCATCATCCACCTGAACATTAAGACATCAAAGTAAGACACAAATCAACTAAACAGCCTCTTCCAGCATTTGAAAGTAGTTAATTTCATTCTACATTCTAAAGACTAATCATGGTTTCACCACCCAAATCATCCAATTGAACCTAGTGAAGTGAACAATCATGCATTACATTCATATCTGAAACAAAACAACAAAGAAAGAGAAAACAAGATTGCCTATTCTAGCACCTGTAAGAATGGCATAACAGTTATCAAGCAAACAATTTCCAACATTAATCATTGCAAGTTAGTAATTTAACTAACCGCGTCCTTCCCAGAAGGATCAGCATTGTTATCTTCCCTGTCATCTGAAACCTCTTCACAAACTGATGCGACAATTTGGCTGTATTCGCTCAAGGAAGTGCCTTTTAGTGATTGCAGAAAGACTGGCTTCAGTTTTTCACGGCATGTGTCTATCACTTTTTCAGCAAGCTCAAAGGAAGGTGAAGAAGATTCCTGGAAATAAAATAAAAATTATTAGATCATGTCAACCTTATGCTATGAATGTAAATCTATGTTGCTGATGTGAGAAAAATTGAAGGATGATACCTTTTCTTCTTTTCTAACATTTTGGAGTAGACATGAAGCAATCTGTGGTTGGACATCCTCACTCTCCTCAATTACCAATCTCATTATTGTTTCCATGCAGGATATGACGGCTTCTGAATGTCCAGAACTGAAATAAGACACAGAAAAGTTCAAAACTTGTACACAGAATATAAGAATACAACACATACTTCTGAAACCAAGAGATCTGACCTATTTAACAAATTTAGCAGCAGGATATAGTAAAGCAAAGATTAAGAACAAAATAAAGAAGACTCATTTATCATTATTCAATAGCCAGAGTGGGCACTCTACCTCCCAGCCAGAGAAACATAGCAATGACAAGTTTAGAATTGCAATTTCAACATTAGCAGTTAAGCAAGGCTGGCAAAATTACACACATATAGTTTTAGTATCTAAATAGGAAACAAATCAGACGCCAAAAGTAGATTATGCGATCTCATTTCCTGTACAGAACAGATCCAAGGAAAAAAAAGGAGCTATCCAATGCTCATGTTACTTAATAAATCTTATCTTAGACGTATATAGTATGCTAGACAAATCTAAAGGAACTTGAGAATGTATCCAGGATATATCTTAGCAAAAACACGTTTTAGCACATCAAGAAATCCAGAAAGTGGAGAAATAGATGAAGCTAAGACAAATTAAGTTATTTCTTACCTAACAGTCCTCAAGAAGTGATGGAACATATCATTTATCAAATCATCACATTCAAGATCTAGCATCACCACACAGGACCGAACTTTTGCCACAGTATCAAGAATTGAAGTTCTCCTTCCAAAGAAGGGGCTCTCTATGTCATCCAGATGCTTGAAGGCCCCCACAATTAAAGAGAATACATCCTAAAACCAAATAAAAACATATGTAAGTACACACAGTACAGCAGAAATCATTTTATTCAGGGCAGACTATACCTTCATTGCATCGTCATCATATGGAGCATCGGGTGCCGTGATCCGTGTGATCTCAGATATGCATGATGCCACGCCAAGTCTAACATTTGAATCAGCATGGCCCAGCAGCTCTTTCTTGACCAGAGCTTCAGTTGCTGGGCGAAGAGCATTCGATGTGCTTTCGGGAGGTGACTGCTCTACTTTAAGTAAACACTCCTCAACTTCCTGCATGAACAAACCATCAACCAACTTGATGACTTCATACGATTCGAGGAGCAAGCCTAGGTAGGTCAGTTAGCAAGATCAAAGTCTTCATATTTATTTAAATGGTATAAGTACATCCAATTATCTAAACCATGGCAAATTACTCTGTACAGCAAGAAAAAATGAAATCTGGAGCAGTAGTGAATAAACTAGGGTAATGCTAAACTCCAATCCTATATTCGTCAAAAACCTCATTCAAATCAATAAGATACTAAGAGGCCAACATTTCCAGTTTCCTTTCAAACCAAACAGCACCATCAAAACTACAAATAAAATCGCCATGATCGGCATGTCCAATAGCTCCACGTTTCAAACCCCAAAAACAGAGATATAATTCAAGTTCAAGGAGAAGTCAAGTCTCAAAAGGCAATGATAAAAAGTAAACTGATTCCAAGGAAACCAGATAACTCCGTACTACAGTCCAGCTAGGAGAACACTCCACAGAGCACACTTCCTGTTTCGTCAGAACAAAACAAATTACGAATTTCATAGCACGGAAGACAACTCAAAAGCAAATCACCAGGCCGAGTAGCATTTCATCCGCGACCCAACCAATCAACATATCGCGAACAACAGGTAAGAGCACAACATTCACCCGGTTCCTACTCATACTCGATGCGAACAGAGCCGTAACCGCGCCGGCAAACACGACACATCGTAGAAGCGCAGTCCTAACATATGCATAACAATCAACGAGAGGAGAAGAAGCGCTAAGGAGGAGCGGGCTCACGATGAGGAGGTTGAGCAGGTCCTCCGCGTCGTCGGGAGGCGCCTGCAGCCGTTCCCCGACCTCCCTGAGCCGGTCCTCCAGCTGCCGCATCTCCTGTTCCGCGGCAGGATCCTCCACCATTTCCCCGGCCGAAACGGGGGTCTACGCGGCCAGATCGAGAGCGCCCGCTCTAGATCTGCCGCGGCTAGGGTTTCCCCTCGCGGCGCGAGTGCGGGGTGCGGCGGGCCGAGAGCGGGCGCCTTTCACGCTCGGCGTCCCGACCGGCGGAGGAGCACGGGAGAGGGTTTAGCGGTGGAGCGGTGGTGGATGACGAGGGAATCCGCAGCGGTATTCCCTTCTCGCCCCCCTCCTCTCCCCTCACCTCTCTTCCGCGCGACGCGACGAGGTTTCGGTGCGGGCGGGGGCTGGAGCTGGGGCTGGGCTGTGTTCGCTTCTGGCTGGGGGCGCTGCGCTGGGGGGCGCGCGTGAGAGGAGGTGAGGTTTGGAAGAATCGGCAGGCGATTTATGGGGCAGCCGCGGGCGGGCGGTGGTTTGGACTTGCGCACTTCCGCGGGGTCTGCCAAAATTGCCAACGTCCCGGCACCGCAGCCCAGAGCGCCCCCCCACGGACGGACGTGTCGGGTGACCATGGAATCCTCTTCACCTGAGGGGGCCTCGCGTCCGCGGACGGCCTGGCGGTCTGCTGTGGCTTGGCTGGCCTCCGCGGCTCCAGGCGGCTCCACCTCACTCCGCGTGATCTCGGCCATCGACTCGCGTGGGGCGCCCGCCCGATGGCTGCCACGGCGCTCGCAGTCACCGAAATGGTAGTTCGGCGCCGGATACGCTCTATGTACTCCGCCAAGCGTATCTATCTTTGAAAGTATGAGTATTTAGTAAGAAAAACGATAGAATTGTGTTCGCCTGGTCAAAGACGACGGCAGTGCGAGGAGGTGGTGGTGACGACGCTTCAGGGATGAAGTAGCGGTAACGATGGTGGTCTTTGAATCGGAGGCGACAAGTAGACATGTCACCGATGTCGGAGAAGACTAAATATAAACAGTATACTAGGTATATGTTTGGTATGTCAAGGGGTAGGAGAAAAGGTCCGGCGAAGGGGGTATATATACAAGCAGAGCATCAACGGTCCGTTGGATTACTGTGATCCAACGGATACGTGTTACTCGGCGCACACATTTGACGCACTAGCGTCATATCACGCGAATGTGTAATAAGTAAAATATAATTTTGAATAAGAAGATATTATACATTGAACCGGTATTTCTTCTTTGTTGTCGCGTACCGAGTGGCACTAGCTAAGTATCTTTACATGTTTCTTAACTATGATTTCAAATTTCAAATATTCACAAATGTGTCACGATGAATCTAGAGTATCACCTAATGATACCTTTGTAGGTCATCCAAAGCTTAATTTAACCTGTCTATATATCATGCTTTGAATAGTTATGGTTGTACCTCTGTCGAGTGAATATTGTGACACTCTTTAGGTCTTGTTTAGATTCCACGGCTAATGGTTAACTGCTAAAATTTTATTGAGATCCTATTTCATCATTAACTAATATGTTAACTAGTGTCTTAGCTATCACTCGGTTAAAAATTACTCCCTCCATCCCAAATTGTAAGACGTTTGACTTTTTTTGCCCCAAGTTTGACCACTCGTCTTATTCAAAAAATTTGTGCAAATATAGTCAAATTTAAGTCATTATTGAAGAATTTTTATTAATAAACCAAACCACGACGAAAGAAGTGATATTTTACACAAAATTTTGAATAAGACGAGTGGTCAAACTTGATGTCAAAAAAGTCAAACGTCTTACAATTTAGGATGGATTGAGTAGTTGTTAACTATCCTCAGCAACGAAGTTTGTTCTAAATGGGCAGCAACTTTCCATCATATTTCTATGCCATGCAACTCAGGCCGTAAGCCTATGATGTTCTACCTAGGTGGACATTAACCAGTGTCCATCCACCTAAGCCTGGTATGCAGTATGTTTCATGGGTCCTTCCTTTCCATTTGCCACAGTCATATAATTTTAACCATGTCAAGTAACGAAATGTTTGGTCCATGTTGGCTAACGAGGTTTGGCCCATAGTTCCTCTCATTAGTAATTAGGCCCATGAGCATGTATTATTCTACCAGGCCTCCATGCTTCATAAAATTCCTTCCTTTTATCGCTTCAAAATATAATATAGTAAGAGCTAAGTTATTAATTAGGAGTATCATATGAAACACTCAAAATATAAAGAAAAACTACAAGACTACAAGATACCCCCGCACGTTGTTTCGGAGATCACAGATGATTTAAATTGAGATTAGATTACTTATATTTATAGTTATATGAAGAAAATGGTTTGACACGTTGATGTGGACAACTAAATGATTGTTAGTGGATGATGAGATAATTACATGTGCGAGGTGGCTATAATTGTATGTGCTATTGGGTTGTTGATGTGGATAGCTTGCATGTTGAGATATAATTCTTAGTGGGGTTTGAAAATATAAAATACAGATACAGATACAGATACAGATACAGATACAGATACAGATATAGATATATATATAGATATATTTATGGGAGATTTAAACAAAAAAACATAGAATAATTGAGTTGTGGTGGCGTTACAATATTATCCCCAGGTGGAGCAAATCAAGTTATTACATGAAAGTTTTACTAATGGAACAACAAAAAAATATAGATAAATATACCATAGAATATTTTTCAAAGTTAAGGATTTAACTGTACTAACGGAACAAGAAGTTTCCACTGGTCGACCATATCCAAATATAGCATAAAAATCAACTCCCCAAAAGGAGTAGTCAAAATACAAATAAAAGTATCACATATCACATCACATTTGGAAAAATTGTGGATCATTTAATTGTATTCGGTGAATATTAACTTTTCATGGATGGAACAATCCAGGGTATCACATAGAACAATGGATATTTTTTACAAGGATGATCAAAACATATATAGAATATGGATCGGTTTAATTGTACCGTGAGAACAATAAATTTCATGAATGAAAAACCGCCCATAATGTAACATGGAACAATTAGTGTGTTCCTGTTGGAATAATCAAAGTGTAGTTAAAAACATCCTAGAACAACTCAAAAGCATCATAGAACAACTCAAAGGTTCATATATATACAGCACAAGAAAAACAATAAAATATCATTATGAAACAATCTACTCCTTCCGTCCTAAAATAACTGTCGTTCTCGCTTCCCGAGAAATAACTTTGACTAATTTTATATAAAAAGATATTAATAATTATAATACATAATTGATATCATTAGATAGATATTTGAATATATTTGCATAATAAATTTATTTGGAGATATAAATGTTGCACGTATTTTTTACAAATCTAATCAAACTTGGCACGAAAACCCAAAACGACAATTAGTTTAGGACGGAGGGAGTTCATCATAACATAGAACAGTGGTTTTTTTCCTATTGCCATACCCAGAATATACAATAGAATAATATATTATTGAACAACCCAATATAGCATAAAAGAAAAGGAAAGAAGAGAAAATGAAAAGATGGCTTGACTCTTACTATCCCTACACGTTATCGTTGGGAAAGTTTATCGCGATATCAGTTGCGTTGCGCCTAAGTTAGATCTACATGGGCCAAACAAAAAATGAAGAAAACAGGAAAAAAGGAAAACAAAAAAATCATCAATTGGATTTTATTGATGGGTCATGGGCCGAAGCATGCCAGGGTTGGATGGAGAGATGTTTTCCTCCGATTGGGTTAGATGAAGGTTGGCAATGTAACGCTTAGGTTGTTCCTCATTCATCTTTCAAATCAGTCCCTTCCCCCAAGCATCCTCAACAGGGCTACTCGGGGGCGACCTCACCGCCGTCCAAGAGCCCCCCCTCCCGGCCTCCCTTCTGGTCGCCGTCGCCGCCGACTAGCGCACGGTGGCGGCGGCCAACCACGGGCCCAAAAAACGGAGCTCCGTTGGCACCTCCCTTTCCCCTCACCCCTCGCTCCTCTACCTTCCCATCTCCACCCTCTCCACCTCCGGTGGGGAGCAGCGGTGGTCGGCCGAATCCGCCCCCCTAGGGCCGGATCTAGCGCACTGAGGGCCAGCTCTCCTCCTTCGGTGATGGGAACTGGCCGGGTCAGTCTGCACCGGCTACCGCCCCGGGTGGTTGCCGGGTGGCGGCGACCCATCCATCCTCTCCATCTCCGGTGGTATGCGGCGGCGGCCAGCCGGATTAGCCCCCCTTGGGGCCAGATCTAGCGCTCCGGCATCTAGACCTCCCTCGACGGCTGGCTGCGGCCGAGTCGGCCTCACCTACGGCGTTGACTGGTGGCGGATGGCCGGATCTAGGCCCCCTGGACACCACCTACAGTCTGGAGGTGTCCTGGCATCGACTAGTGATGGATGGCTAGATCGAGGCCCCCTGGATAGCATCTGTCGTCTGGATGTGTCCTAGACCCTCAGCGACGAGCGACGACGACCTTGCCGGGTGGGCGGGGAGCCGATGGCTGGATCTGCTCCTCTATGGCAGTTGCTCTTGGCCAAGCCAACATGCTCTCCTTCAGTGGCAGCCAGGATCGACGGCAGACAGGGGTGAAAACCCCGCTAGGCTTCTTGCCTTGGGCCGATGACGGTGGCACGCTAGCGTCATCACCTTCTTGGAGGCGTCGTCATTATGCTCAGTTCATCGTTGGCGGCTGTTGGGGCAAGTTTGGGGACAAAAGTTCCTTTTAGGTGATCCTCACAACGAAGTTGGCGTCCGCGGATGTCATCACTTTCTTGAAGGCTTTGTTGATGCACTCCGCTTGTTCCCACCGCGCCATTCGTCGGAGCCGGTCCTCACCATTCTGTGTCTGCGTGTGCTTCACTCTTCTCTTCGCATAGGTCTGCCCCGTCTCAGTTGATGTTGCCGCTATAGTTGTTCGGTGGGTCACAACGGCTACCTGGTTGCTGTTGATGTTAATGCCGCAGTCGCGCAGTTCACAGCAACTACCTGGTCGTTGTTGATGTTGCCGCTGCAGTCGCTTGGTTCACAGCGGCTACCTGGTCGCTGTTGAAGTTGCTGACGGTCGTTCGGTGTGTTCACAGTGCTACCCGGTCGCTGTTGAAGTTGCTGATGGTTC